TAGGACAGGAATAAATTTCAAAAGCATTATTTTACAAAAAACAAGGGTTTTGTAGCAAATCACAATGTAATATCAATGACATTGAAAACAAAGCACTGTGTGTCAAAATTTGATATAGCAGAGCATAGTAAATATACATTCTTAAATATTTAAAATAAATGTTCAATAAATGAAATAAATCATGATAATGTAGGGACTTCTCTAGGAAGGCAAAGATAGTACCAATAAATATTAATGCAATATGTCTCGATAACATTAAAGAAAAACTATATTCCACAAATTAAAACTCATATCTGATAATCCAAATATTAATTAAGTAGCATGCATTCTGCATGAAAAGCCTAACAATAGTAACAATTAATAATGATGAACAGGTGGATAGGACTTTATGTTTAAAGAGTTTTTCATAGGCCCATTTTACTTCTTAGAACATCTTTTTGAGGGAGTTATCATTAGTTATAATTCTGAGCCCTTCTTATTTGAGGAATGCCAGCATTTACCCTATAGATATAAAGAAATATAAGCAATGTTATCACTCGAATTCACATCTAAGGAGCCAGGTGATCAGAGATTTGAATAACTTGCACAAAGATACACAGGTTTTACATGGTAAAACTGAAACCAGTATCTATTTAAAGATTTTGTAATACTTGTGGTTTTTCTTTTTTATGCCACTATTTCATTTTAAGATAGAATCCCCTACTAAATGAGTATATATGCACACACAATTAAGTTTAGTTAGAAGAACAGGTGGAAAATTCATATGGTGGCACAATACAATAAATATAATCAGAGTGCCAAGCATGGTGGCACATGCCTGCAATCCTAACTATGGAGGAGACTGAGGCAGGAGGATCACAAGTTCAAGGTCAACCTGGGCAATGTATCGAGACCATGCCTCAAAATAAAGCAATTCTAACAAGGGCTGGGGATGTAGCTCAGTGAAGAGCACCCTTGAGTTCAATCCCCAATACTGGGAGAATATTTATTTATTTATCTCGAGGGTATTTCAAATGATGATTTTTCCAGACATCTTGTCATCCTCTGCACTAGTTAACCCATCTTCCCTAAAGTTATAAGTAGGGATCACTACAAGTCAAAGTGAAACACTAAGACAAGTGAAAATTTTAGCCTATTTTAAAAAACAACTCAAATACTATAGTTTGCAATGATACCAAACAACTTAAGAGCTGAGGACACTTACAGCACTTTGGATTGACCTGTAGACACTGTAAAAGAAGCTTTCTTAATCTTATCCAGAGCATTCAGTCATCTGTAAAATCACATACTTCCATTGCTGGAAGGGATAGTAGAAATCTATATATTCAACACTTTCAAAACGAAGAGGTACAAAGGATTATGGAATTTGCTTAGGGTTAAATACATACAGAGTGGCAAAGTTAGGAGCAGAAGCCAAGTGCAAGTAAAAGTACCGTTTCTGGAAGGAACACAGAAACCATTTTTTTCAATTTTTGTTTTATTAAATTATTATAGAAGTGGAAGATAAGTCCAGATATATAAGGCTGTTCCCATCAGCTTGCCGAACTGGACTTATAGCCAATGTATGTCAGAATTAAAATGCCTGCTTTCTAATTCTTAGCATATAATTTAAGATCATAAGAATTTTCATCTCCTTTGATTGTGCTAGCCTTCATGATGGCCATTGATAATAAATATTTACTTGTGGGCTTAATTTTTGGAATTGAAAGTATCGGTGTGCTTTAAAGGAAATTTGGAAATAGTCAACAAAAATGATTCTAATAATACAATAAGAGAGAATGTGTAGCTGTTAAGTTTTTTAAAAGTAGTTTGGTAATTATTAGAGTAATCAATTACCTGAGCCTATTCTTTTTTAATGGGGGAAAACAACTTCCAGAGTTTATTATTAGACAATTCTTAATAAAGTTTTTTCTCTATGAAAATTACATGTTCATTATAAAATCCTATAGCATAAAGAACTATGAAAAGTCAACCATAGTCCAACTACCCAAAGGTAAACACTATTAAAAAATTTTATCTATTTCCTTTCAGAAATTTCATTTGTTTTTTTCATATTATATTAAACACATTTATATGCTTAAAAGCTAATTTTAGCATAAGCACTTTCCATGTTATTATAAAATGTTCACAAATGATTTTAATGACTACAAAAAAGTCCTATTATGAATATACCATTATTTTTCTGAATAGCTGTTCAACAGAAAAAAATCTGAGATCCTTCTATAATATCATTGAAGTACTACCACTAGTACTCAATAAAGATCCAAACAAAATCACTTTTTCTTATATAAGAGTAAGAATTACGTTTTCTCCTACTTTTAGGATGATATAATTTTTTAAGTATTTGTTGCAATAAAATTATCATAATTAAATTCAGAGATCAAAACAGGGAACATATAAATTATTTTTTAGGAAATAAAAGCAAAGTCCAAGTTAAAAATCTCTTACAGAATGTATGTTAGTAATGTTAAGAAAACGGGAAAAATTAGAAGTTTATTTTCAACATACCCAATTTCATGTTATAATTTATAGTTTCTACTGATTTATGTGTCTTACCTTGTAGAGATGACTTATTGAAGGCAGTAACAGAAGTGGCTACAGGAGGGGGCAAAAGAGGGTAAATTGACTGTGAAGATGCTGATTATTCAAGTAAAAAACATTACTGAGTTGAGAAAGTAGTCTCTGAATTACATAATGCTAAAACACCAGCATGTTTGAAGGTCTCTGTGCAGAGTATGTAATTGTTTGCTTCACTAAAGTTTTCTTTATCCTAGTAAGACATATTCATGTTTGATAAATACGTTTGCCTGGGTGTGTAAGATACCAGACAAACCAGCATCATCTAAAATCTCCAAAACTTTTAATACAAAACATTATTTCTATAGATTAAAACTGCAAGATGTTTGGAAAAATTTTGAAATTAAATTGATTCATTTTATAAGCCAGTTTATTGTGGATGTTGACCTTAGGGGGGAAAAATAGGCAAGAAATTTCCAAACTTGTATAATTAAAACCTCATACAAATTCTACAGTAACTCACACTTGATTAAAACAATGAGTTCTCATGTAAATTTTGTTTTCCGTTTAAATCTAAAACACAAAGAATTAAGTTGAATTTTGAAAAAAAAAAATGTGGATAATAGCTACAAAATTTTTATTCCTATTTTAGTAACTGAAATCAAGTTGTTTTATATTTAAATTGATTTGTTTTATTTCCAAGTGTTTGTTTTTATTTAGTGCTTTCTTCTTATTCCCAACAACATGAATTTACTTCCCTCTCGTCATTATGAACCTGAGAACACCTGTACATAAACACAGCACACACATACACGTATGCACATTTTGTTCAATGAGTAAAATGAAAGGTCTAACTCACCTCTGCTGATATCCATGGCATATAACTCCCGCAGTCCCAGGTCATTGAGAGATTTTGTCAAGTCGAGGGGCTCCTGGGACTGGTAGTCTTTCATCAGCAGTGTGTGCAGTGGGTCAAACTCACACTTGCTACATATGACAGGAGCCAGTTCCTGAAGGGGAGCATGTGGACTGACTCTCACTATGGCCTTCTGTGTTTTCTTGAAATTGATCACTACTCTCACAGTTTTCTGAAACATGGATTAAAGCTAGAGTTACACCATAATTTATTAAAATAAGCTTTCTATAATGTCTAAAATAATGAGTTTATTTACAATTATATATTTATAAACAGTTCTTTCTTATTCTCTTTTTCATTAGTGTTATTTCCTATATCTAAAGCAAATTCTAAGAAACAAATATTAGTTTGCATATCAAACAATCTAAATTGGCCAGGTTTGTGGTGCTCCCTTATAATCTCAGTTACTCAGGTGGGTGAGGCAAGAGGATCACAAGTTCAAGACCAGCCTTGACAACTTGGTGAGATCCTGCCTAAAAATAAAAATAAAAAGAACTGGGGATGTAGCTCCATGGCAGAGAGCCCTGCATTCAGTTCCCAGTACTGCAAAAGAAATAAATGATTACATAATTCACATTAAATAATCCACAACCCTTGTATAATAAATTAAGCAGATTTAAACCAAAGAAGAGAAAACCTCATGTCCAGTGTTGTTTTTACATTGTTTACTTTAAAATTAACAACATACATAATGATACAGAGACCACCCATGTTTTATCCTATTCTTTATTTAAGGAATATTTATATTTTGAATCATTTGTCAGTTAGTTGCCTCAACTAAAAGAGGAATCTTTTGAAAAACCACTAGAATATTTGTGTCTCTCTATTCAAAGCATAATAAATTAGAAAAATCATATAAGGAGTTTAGCACAGTGTGTGCCACAGAGGAAATTATGAAAATACACTTTCTCTTGTGATTAGTTTTTGTTGTTACTATTATTATACTTTGGTTATTTTTAATATAGTAAAGATTATTAAAGTATTCCTATATATATCTATGCTAATAATTCAAAATTATTGAAAATCTTTATCTCATAACTTTGATGTAACTAAATTAAATCCTATGTAAAAGGAACTTAGCAACTAAATATAATCTAGTTCATAGATATCAAAGACATTTATTCATAAAGACACCACATATAATTGAGGGGCTCCTTTATATAATGTGCATGCTACAACATAAATAAAACTACTTCCATAGTAGTTTAAACAGCAGGTTAACAGATGAATAAACAGCAAGTAAATCCAGTAAACATACACCTAGACAAAAAAATAATTTTGTGTAATATTTTAATATTCAGTATTTAATTACATATAAAAGAAAATGTTTTGTTATAAAAAACCCTGTTGACTTTGTAAAAACTTCATAATATGAAGAAATATGACAATACATGTGTTCAAGTCACATGTAAATGAACTATCCACTTAAGATATAAAATTTTATATTTTATGAAGTAAAAAGTTGTGAATATTCATAATAAAAGATTATTCATGAAAACCATAAACTTCTACCCCACTGTTTATACCAACAGAATAATTTTTTAAAGAATAACTGATTAAGGGCTGAGGATGCTGCTCAGGGACAGAGTTTGTCTAGCATGCAAAAAGCCTTCTTGAGTTCCATCCCCAGCAATCAATCAATCAATCAATCAATCACTCTATCTCTCTCTCTCTCTCTCTCACACACACACACACACACACACACACCAGAAATCTAATAACTAATTATTTTAGAATCGTTATGGTTTGAATTTCTTAGTTAAAATTCATATATTAAGGAAAACTAAGTCACTGTGCAGCATAAATAACAATATTATTAAATGACAACTGCCACTTACTAAATAGAGAAACCAAAATATAATAAATTCTTAAGTTAATTTTCATTAAAAGATTCTAAAATCTTCCATTAAACAAAGAATTTTTAAAAGCATAGTTTAAAATCCAGCATGTACATAATTTTCAGGCTCTGATACAGCCTATCAATCACTTTATAACATTCAATTTCTAAAGTATTCCTCCAATTCTAGTTGATACAGGATCAATAACCAACTGGATTCTAAACATTGTGGCCCAAGAAAACATAATAACCATTTTCAAGTTGACTAAAAACCCAATTTTTATCTCCTTTGGAAAGAGCTAATAACTGAAAGATTAACTTAATACCTTGGCCATGAAACATCAAAATCAAAAATGCAATCCTTACCTCGGGTATTATCGGTGTAGGTTTTTTCTTGTCCAAAATTTTTGGCTTTAAAATTACCTTCTCTACCTCCAACATTCCTATTGGTGTGTTTGGCTTAAATTTAATGTGATTCTTTTCAGCAGACAGCAGATCGATGGTGTAGCTTGATGGATTTAAATGATACTGGGCACAGAGAAATATCAGCAAGTCCATCATTGGTTTGCTGTAAAACAAGAGTAATGCTGATCATAGGGTCCACAAAACCACCACCTCAGTAACTGTTAGCTATTGTTTTGAGAATTCTTCACACACACAGGCAGGTGCCTTCAATAGATAAAGTAATGCTACACTGTAGTATTTGTAAAATCAGCTTAAAATTCTAACTATGTTTTATCAAATAAAATTATAATATTTTCCTAGGTAGCATTTAAGAGAACTTAGTTCCTAAAGTTGCTTTAGCAATTGCCTATATGCTTTTGTCAATTTTTTTTGCATTATAAATTTCAGGAGGAGATGAGTACTCATTAAGAGTCAGTCAATTAAGACTAGTCAATTTACTAAGCACTTCTTTAGAAATTTATTTGGAATACTGGCAATCTTTAGCTTACGAATTGGCCATATTCCAAAGTTCTCATAAAATGAAGTATGTGAAATCACTACCATTTTGGCTTTGCAAAACAGATACTTACTATCTACAAGGAAGCATGCAAAATCCTAAAGAGTACATATTTCTTAAATCATTCAAAAATATTTGTTTAACATTTCCTAGGCTTTGCATCCTAATACAAATATTATGGTGCACCTGTCCTCATAGATCTAACTCAACTACATGAGCTAGACCAAGTGTCAGCCAACTACAACGTGCAGGTCAACTACACCCACAGTCTGTTTTTATAAATAAGTTTTACTGGAACATAGCCATGCCTGTTTGTTTCTATAATGACTCAACCTGCTTTCGTGTTACATTGTGCAGATTGAAGTATATGTCTAATATTTTTACTATCTGGCCTTTGACAGAAAAAAATTTATGGGGCCTGTGTTAGACAATAAAAAAGTAGTCAAGTAAATGCATGAAATCATTTGAAATAGTGACCGAGTGTGAAATACTAATGGTAATATAGGATCTATTTCTGTAGGCACTTTCATACCCAACTTGAGATCTAGGGACACTTCTCAATATTTGGCTTCCCTTTCAACAGATGTTACAGACTTGTGTTTTCACTAACACCATCCACAGAACAATGTGGTCTCTGGGCCTTTCTTAATTGTCAGCCCTAAGGAAAACAAACTAAAAAAAAATCTTTTGTATCATGTGTTTTCCTCAAATGCCTGGCAATCCTTAACTGTTAGTTCACACTTAATAATAAGGCACTACAACACTGTGTAAAAGTCCTGTTTTTATGGAAGGAGGTATGGGTCCATGTGCTTCACTTCAGGGTAACCTGACTGCCAGCCATTCCCTACCACTGGAAAACATAAATGTCAGCAAAACTAGAGATAAAAACCTAGCTACTGGTGTTCAGAAATTTTATAGGAAAATGAGGTTAGGAATCTCAGCATTCAGTGTGCCATATAAAACTTAGTACATCTGTTTTCATATAGCATCTCACCCCACTCCCCCAGGAGCAGTTCCCATTTTGTGGTCTCTGCAACTTAGTGTTTTCAAGAAAAGGAGTTTCATGCAGAGGTGGGGAAGGGTCAGTTGTTTAGCCCTGTGGGATCTTGAGGTCAAACAACACTTTATATAAATGTTCAAACTGTCCTCTGTATTCACCCCATCATCACACCCCCTTTTCTGTGGTTGTCACAAGTTCCTAAACCATGCCAGACTCCATGCCAGAAAGAGGTGCATTTCTTAATGGTGCCTCACTTTCCTCCTCCTCCCCCACATTCAGTACCATTTCACTGGTACACATACAAGAATAAATAAAAGACTATTTTTTTTTTTTTTTAAAGAGAGAGAGAGAATTTTAATATTTATTTTTTAGTTTTCGGCGGACACAACATCTTTGTTTGTATGTGGTGCTGAGGATCAAACCCGGGCCGCACGCACACCAGGCGAGCGTGCTACAGCTTAAGCCACATCCCCAGCCCAAAAGACTAATCTTCTTAACACAAAGGATTCTCTGGAATATGTATCAGTCCTCAGAATATATCCGCTATATCTTGATTTTGATGCTTGTGCAGTAACACTTTAGAGTTTTATGTCCTTCTCAGAGTTACACACTATGGAATTTGTCTCTGACTACCCAGATTGTATTTTGGATAGTATACTTTAAAATTCATCCAGAGAGACAAGTACACTGACCTTATAAAAATTTGTGTTTTTTTTGGTAATACAATACTTTGAGATCAAATGATGCCACATACTGATTCTCAAAAAAATGTAAAAAAAATGTGCTTTCACTGATAATAAAGTTAAGGTGGATTAGCTAATATCTAGGTAAAAAGAACTATAAATAGAATTATACTGAAGGAGAATTTTCATTGTGAATCAAATGTACAGTGGTCTGCAATATGTAAATGGTGATATGTAGATATTATATTTGTTTTCTCTTTATATAAATGTGTCAAGTAATAAATGAAAAAACACTAAAGCTTGCAACTCAAATACCTTTTACTTTCTAAATAGTTGTTTAGAATCTCTGCCAGAAATATAAACTAAGTTAACAGGGCAAAAATACTAATTACAATTTTTTTAAATCCCTATTTTAATCCTTATTTTCATCCTTTGGTAGCACATGCTAACATAAGACTTTATCATAATATTTGAACTCAACACTGCTGAAATAAAAATGACTCTTTGAAAGCCAAATGAAAATCACAGAATATCTTTATGAGTGTATTCTCTCATTCTGTAATTCCAGGTTCAATTCTTTATGATAATTCCAGAAGCCAATTTTGTCCTGAAAATATTCCTAGTCTTAGATAAATACAACATACCAGAAAATTCTGCCATAGGTACAAATGCATATACAAATTTAATACTGCATGATAGTGGTCTTTTAGATTTCTGGAGACACTAACTAGTCATCTAAAATTTGGGTTTCTACCTTATTTTTTAAGCCAAGTAAGCTCCAGGTGGACTTTATCTATAAGCATGAGGATGTGCTCTAGGCTAAAGAGAAAAATAAAAGCAGAAAAGAAATCCACCCTTATGTAGTTTATATTCTACAGCAATGTGTCAAATAGAACTTTCTGCAGTTATGGAAATGTTCTAATATTTGCAATCCAATAAGTGACCATACAGCTGGTGGACTAACAAATTGAATTTCAAATTTCATTTAACTTAAATTCAATTTATAAGACACGTGTAGTGAATGGCTACCATTTTGGACAGAGTAGTTCTACTACATTGGTTCTCAAAATGTGACCCATGGACCAGTGCATTTCTGGGTGCTCAAAATGTGTAATCAATGCAGGTTCTCAAGCCCCAGCCTGGACCAGGGAATCAGAGCCTGTGGTGAGGGACAGCAGCCTGTGCTTTGACCAGCACCTCATCCCCTTCTGAGGCAAGCTGCCATTTACAAAACACTAATCCAGACAGAAGAGAATAAAAATGTACAATCTATGGGACATCATATAGTGATAAATATCGAGATGAAAAGTAAAAGGTCAGGGAATGCCAAACTGAAAAAAAAAAAAAAAAATGGCTTTAGAATAGAGGCCTGGAGGGAATGGGATATCTGGAAGAACTGCATTTCCCTACTCTGCCTGGATTACTGAGGCCCTGAGGCAGGACATATTTATGAGTGTATTCTCTCATTCTGTAATTCCAGGTTCAATTCTTCATGATAATTCCAAAATGTATGGGATTAAAATAAAAAACAAAAACCAGTGGGCTAAGGTGAAAGCAGTAGGAATAAAATCAGGGTGCTAATTTTATGCTTAAAGGCCTTTCACAGAAAGATCTGAGATCTTATGGTGTGAACTAAAAAGCCTGAGAGAGTTCGGAGGAGTGATGTGATCTGCTTTATGTTTAAAAAGATTATATTCCGAACGCTATATTCAGAATAGCCTGGAGAAGCAGTTACATACAAGAGTGTTGCCAAAATTTAGGTGGGAGATGGTAGTGGCTCAGACAAGTCAGAGTCCACATATATTTTGTAGTGAGCTAGTGGGATTAAAGCCAAAGTAGAAAGAGGACTGAGCCAGTGTAGAGGTCGGATTGCAGGGACATCAAAAAGTGGCAGCGTTGCTGAAAGGGCCCAATAAGATCCCTGAAACACAAACGTGCAGAGATTGCTATGTGATAGATAATCTTACTAACCTCTCCTTTTGATGACCACACACCATCGCTAAGGTCATCATGACTTCAGGAGGGGTGAAGTCAAGAGAATGGAGACCAAAAGATAAGAAACTATGTAGGCAAAATACAAATAAGTCAGAGCCAGCGGTGCCCTAAACTTACAGTAAGATCACAAAGGGGAATGAACCTTCCACAGCAAGTGGGATAAGGGTCCAGGCCAATCTTATCCAGACCTTCAGGACACAGTAAGCTCAAGATGCTATCTGGGATCCATTTGTACCTAGATAGGAATTCCTCTATAGCAGGACCACATCTCGGCAATCCTTATTCCCAGCACCTAATATGAGGCATTCAGTAGGTCCAAGCTGTTGTAGGAGGGGTTTACAGGCATCAGTGATTATTTTCTCATAACATAAGTCTGTTTGAACCTCAGTGTTCAAGACACAGAGCAAACGATGTACAGCTGGCGTCTCTATGGCACCTGACACATGAAAAAGCACAGCAGTTGAAAGGAGATTTACAGGAACACATACAAAAACTAGAAAACTTTGGTTTCTATTTATTAACAAATTTGAGTAACAGAAGCTATGCCCTGTTCACACAAAGGTAGGCCAAGACCTTTCTAAACATAGTCTCAGACCAGTTTGAAAGCAAGATATTTTTATCTAGAGCTCCAGTATGGGGCACTAATATGAAACAGTTGACCCTGACCAGAAGATTTTGAGGATGGAAGTTTCTCACTGTCCAGCTCTACTATTAAGTACAACATTCTCTAAAGCAGGTCTGGTGTTCAATGGCTGCTGGGGTCAACTATTCACAAATTGCACCCACAGAAAATGAAATCATCTCTTGAATAGAGTTGTTTAGAATTTTCTACCAAATTTTCTGCCAAACTACTTCTGCCTAAGACAGTACCTTAGGTCATGATGATAACTACCCGACCCCAGCTGGCTAAGAGATCTACCATGGATCAC